CAGCCAGTTTGTCTCAGTTTCTTTTCTTTCTTTCTTTTTTCTTTTCCTTTTTTGTGCAGCAGACCAGTCTGGGTCTCCGCATGGTCATCTGTCCCCCCCCCCTTCTCAATAATCATGCGGATCCAATATATTGTTCTCCTACTTTGCCAACTCCAGCCCTACCCTACAACCCTGTTAACTGCCCCTTTAGCCAAGTCTGGAGGAGGAGGAGGAGGAGGAGGAGGAGGAGGAGGGGGGAGGGGGGGATAACTGGAGCTGAAGGAAGAAGAGATAACAGATCTGGGTAGTACTAGGCCAGACATCCACAAGATAGCAGCAAAGACATACAGGAAATTCTACCTCTCCCATCTAGTTGTTCTCCAGATTTCTGCAGCTTGGACCTGGTAGCCCTAAAGTGAAGAAACCGGTGAGTCTGATCTAGCAGTGAGATCTTGGTGGAAACCCGCCCATTCCTGATTCTCAGACCTTGGGTAATTCTGGCCCCGAAACAGAGGCCGAGGCCCACGTTCATAGGGATGCTGATGCCACTGCTCTGAAAGGCAAAGGGTCAAGAGACGAAGAAGGGGCAGACCAGGAGAACACCACCGTAAGAGTAGCAGCCTGCACAGCCACTTCACTTCATACCACCACTGGTTGTGCTTGAGTTGAGGCTAAAAGCTTCTGTGATAAAAGTTTTTATACATCAGATGTAGGACTGGAAAACTCTCACTTTTAGAGAGATGGCTTTGTGCTGCTGATGCTGGACCCTGTTAGTTTAGTCTGGAGTTTGAGGTCAAGACTGCCTGTACTAGCTTTTGCCTTGGGCCCACTGGTGTGAACCCTGGGACGTTCGCATAGATGGAGGTGCTGCTACATGAAAACCGAGCCCTGAAGGAACAGGTAATGGAGCAGCCAGTCCCACTTAACAGTGCACAGGCCAAGCTGGCCCAGACGAGGCCAACATCTGGGCTACCGAGATGCAAATGTTCTGTCACTCCACCAGGAAAGCCAGATGGAGCTATGGGGAAATCGCCCACATTCTTGCCCAATACCCTCCACGAAGCTTTGGACAGAAAACCTCCTGACAGATGGCAGCACTTGGATGGCATTCTTCACTAGCCTAGTTTAGGGTTCCGCAATTAAATGGGCATCACCACACTTACAAAGGGCAGAGTTCTTTCTTCACAGCTTTGGGTGGTTTCATGGGGGAAATGGACTTTCTGTTGCCTCAAATATTACTGAATTCCAGCTGTTACATAAGACATGGAATGAACCTGCTCTACGAGGAAGCGTTGGCAGATGAAGGGCTTGATAATCTGATCCAAGGTGCATACTGCTCAGAGGCTCATGCAATTGTGTCAGTTAACTGCATGAGCGACTGGAAGCTTAAGCTATTCGGCAGTGCCAAGGCAGTTCTTGGGTTCTGCTTAGAGAAGGAGCCACAGTACAACCCCTCCAAGTGCTCCCACAAACTGAGGAACCAACATAATGAGGGGTCCACCCTGCCTTTCTCTAGGGCCCCAAAGTATTTATATGGGGATCTCCACTTATTTCATCCCCACAACATCAGTCCTGTGAGATAGTTTGGGTTGAGAGAGGATGGACAAGCAGTCAGGAATAGACCACAGAATAGCACTTGGTAGAGCAGCCATGAAGGCCTCGGAAAAGAATTTCAGATGCCAAGATTTGTCTATACCTGTAAAGATCAGAATCATGCAGGCAATGGTATTCCCTGTGACACTCCATGGAAGCAAAAGCTGGACTTTGAAGGAACAGGATAGAAAGAGAATTGACACTTTTGAACTTTGGTGTTGGAGAAGACTCCTGAGAACACCGTAGACAGCCAAGAAAACAAATAGAACATCGAACACACCAACCCAGAGTTCTCACTCGAGGCACAAATAACCAAACTCAAATTATCCTGCTTCGGATGCCTTATGTGAAGACCCAGTTGTCTGGAGAAGGCTGTAATGCTGGGAAAGATGGAAGGAAAAAGAAGAGGATGACCAGCAGCAAGGGGGAGGGACTCAGTTACAGTGGCAATGTATGCACCATTTAGAAGACCTGAAGGACCAGTTTAGGGACAGGTCATCCTAGAGAAAATCTATCAACGTGGCCGCTAAGAACTGACACCAACTTAATGGCACATAATCAATCATTTGGAGTAGAAATGAGTACAACCAACATGGCTTTAGGAACCGTCTTAACACAAGCTTCTGAAACTCACAGGATATTATCTTCCTGTAGATACCACTATCATATATTATACCTAACAGAGTGAAAGTATACAGTATTATTTGGGTTTAAGAAATACCAGTGGTAAAAGATGTATTTTAAACTTGGACAAATCTCTTGGAAGGAACATATGAAGTACACACTAAACATCAGAACCTGGAGTAAGGAGCTAAGCTGCCATGATAGGGTTAGGGTTAGGGTTAGGGTTAGGGTTAGGGTCACACATTTATCACATTTTAATTACGTAATGTCTGGTGTTTCATGTGTTCATAATCAGAGGGCAGACAGATTTTCACAGAATTCTGATTTTACATGGATTCAGAAAGAATCCTTGGAAGCCACTAACAAGCATCCCAAACACATTGCTGCGATCTTGAGTCTTTGCAGGAGTCATCTGAATACAGCAGAAACAGGATACGTTTGCACCAAACACGCTTGGATGGTATCAGTATCTGGAAACGCTTCTTCCAACCACTTCTACTAAAAATGGATTGCTGTTCCATCTAGCTGAAATACTTATTCCTCCAACTGGCAGGAACAAAGTCCTCTCCATCTGCTCTGATGAATGCTTCCTTCAAAACACTGCACATCTACTCTGGCGGTCACAGATTTCTGGTGGTCACAGATCAAGGTAGAGGCTCGGAACTGTGTCATTAGCCTGACTAATGTTGAAGTGAACAAAACCTACCCTCGGGTCTCTTCATGCCTCTACCTCCGCCCCGGCCCTTGACTATTTCCCTGGACTTTATTACTGAGCTACCATCCACTCATGGCCAGAACATCTCAAAGCTCACTTTCTTCTCTCCTTTGCCTCAGTTTGCTACATGGCACAATTATTTCTGAAGCACACTTTCCAACTGCATAATGGACTGCAAGAATGTGTTATCCCTCATAGATAGGTGCAGCCTATTCAAGATACCATCTTGAGTACATGTCTCCACATTCCCAGTCAGACAGATAGAGAGCGTATTAATGATTCGCTGGAACAATCTCTCTGCTGCTGTGCTAGTTATCAGCAAGATAATTGGGTCACGCTCTTGCTCCCAGCTGAGTTCACTATGTGCAACACACAGACCCTGTTCGATGCAAACTCCTGAAAGTTCACCCACTTTCTCCCTCAGCATAATCACCCTGACTTTAGCACCTGCAGTTAATCAGGTTCTTCAGGAACTGAAAGCAGTTCACAAAGTCCTGAAAGAACAATCAGAACAGGCTAAACAGGATTATAAAACATTCACAGATTGGAAGCGTGCTCTGACCCCCCATTAAAGTATGTGACAAAGTTTGGTTTTCAACCAAGCACCTGCCAGTTCAAGGCCAGATCAGAAAACTAAGATCCCGCTTCACTGGTCCCCTCCTGATCACTGCTCAAACCAAGACTGTGACCTGCAGCCCGCAGCTGCCCACCCGTACAGTGTTCTTGTTCCTGAGAACCTGGCACCCTACTCCCCATCTCTCCCCTACCCAAACACTGCCACTGACGAGTGAAACTCAGGAGTGGCTAAGATCTGTGGCTCTCGTTTCTATAACTGGATATTGCAATATTTTTAGATTGGGAAAGAGGCAGAGAGGAAAATACCTCATACAGGAGACGTCAGATATAGCTCCACGTGGTAGGTTGTTGCTCCAAAGTTGTTGTGTCTGGATGAAGACAGTGAGCTTTTGAGATAAAAACCTTCATTTGGGCTCACTCAGATGCCTAAACAATTGCTGTGATAACCTTGTCTTTTTCTTTGATGACAACCTTTGCACAAACTTCTGGAAACACAAACTTTTCAGGGGGTTCAACACTTTATTTGGTCTAGAGACCGACTAGAGACCTGGGCTGTTGAATTATAGGATGTTCTGCCCTATAGTGTACGTTCTAGGAGGAAAGTTGCGTTATCTATGTTACCCAAATTTCCGAAAGGGTCAATTTTATTTAAGGCATAAGGTTTCCTGAAGTGAGCTTCAGCCCATGAAAAGTATGTCTTAAATAGAATTGTTAGACTCAAAAGCTGCTACAAGGTTCTTTCTGAATTTTGCCCTACTGAGTGAATAATCCCTGCTCGAGATGGCCTCGCTGCACTGCTGCTATGTGCATTTGAGCGTGCCATCTTCTAAAGATCTCAGAGATATTCTGTCTCCTAGGAATATGAGGACATCCATGGCAAAGTGAGCCTGCTGTAAGCTTTGCCATATTCGGAGCGTTTCTAACTTGCTGTCTACTGAAGCTATGCAATTCTGCTACAGAGAGAGAGAGAGAGGGAGACTTTCATCAATGAAAATGCCACAGAAACAAACCAAAGGAACAAGGTGTTATTCTGCAATTGCCGACTCTAACTTCACCTCACGTCCATATCTGCCTCTGATTTAATCAGCTCTGCGCTTTCTATGGTTTTGAAGATTGAGCAGAAAAGTATATAAGCACCTGTGCCTCAAATACCAATCTGTATTTCTAACTCATTTCTGACTCAGTCATCTGTCCTTCTGAAATACCGCATGGTACTTATGGACCTGTCATGCAAACAGCCCTCACAAAACAGACCACTAACTTTTTTCAGAATCCAAATCTAAAATTCCTGCTACACAAGGGCCTACATACATTTGCTTGGAATTCGGAAGGCTTCAGTCTTGGGTTGGTTTTGCAATTAATTAAGCCAAAGTCAACTAAAACATAGAATTCCCCCCAAAATCTTAGGTCAGTCTTAGACCAGCAGGTGGGGATGAAGGATTGGTTGACATGGTCCGATCAGGTGCCCGGTGGATCCGGAGGGTTTTTTCACTGCACTGGGAGAATGTCTTACCTGTCTGTTGGTAATACCCTTGAAGCTCTGCTGCATCTCTGGGACATGGAGATGACTCAAGAGGTTGACACCCCTCCTCCACTTCCAACTAGCAGAGCTAGATCAGCATCTCCATTTACTCAAGAGCTAAGTGGATGGCAGAAGACTGTGAGGGAAATGGAGGAACTCTCAGGATGGGGGGGCTTGCACCCAGAGTGAAGTTCTATGAGGGCTCCTTTGAAGACTTACTCCAATGCAGTAAATGCGAGAAGAACATTTATTTCTCTGTCCTCCTGGTGATGCTCTTCCATACTATGCAACATCTTCTCTGTCCCAATTTGTGAGGAGGGGAGCCGGAACAGTCAGAGACTTCCTAGGAACAATTTTCACCATTTGTTGAGGGCAAAGTCAATTGGATTTTGCCTCAGTTCGGACTCCAGTGCTGGGGTGGGTCTAGAAAGGTAATCACAGCAACTGCTCTGTTCTTATGGATCCTTCCCACTCTGTAGATCTTGTGGATGTCGAGGAGCATGTGAAATAATGAAGGCCACTGCCTGCTTGCTCCCTCCCTTGCTCCTCCAGGTTAATTAAAGTGGCCTCATGGTTAAGGGAAGTGATCAGGGCCTCTGCAAGGGTGGTTGTGTTCCTGCTTGTTAAAGCCCTTCTTGAAAAAGCTTTTCTTGGCCCAGAAGATGTCTGTAATTATAAGCTGTATTCCATTCTTGGGCAAGGCGATTGAGAAAGTGGTGATCTCACACCTCCAGATGTATCTGATGAAAGTAATTATCTGAGCCCAGTTCAGCTGCCATTTTATCTGGGATGTGGTGCTGAGACTGCCTTGCTGAGCGTTCTCTGTGATGGTTCTACCAGACCTCTCTGCAGCTTCTGATATCGTCCACCACAGGGGTGAGCTTTAGGGCCACTCTTTTCTCCTAGGGTGTATGTAAAAGGTGACGGTAGATGGTGATGTCCAACAGCTGGGCGGTTCCACAGGGTTCCGTCTCAGCCCCATGCCATTCAGCACCTGCAGAAAACTGCTGTCCGGAGTCATGCAGGTCTTTGGAGTGGACTGCCATCAGTGCGCTGATGATGCCAGGTCTTACCTGCTCCGTGCCATCTAATTCCAAGGAAGCATCCAGTACCCTTAAAGTCGGCCTAATCTGGATGATAGGCCTAATAAGGGAGAACAGACTGAAAGTAAATCCAGACCAGATGGGGCTGCTGTTCATAAGGAAAAAGCTGGACTTTGGGATTGAGATGAAACTTGTTTAGGATGGAATTGTACTTCCCACCCCCAGAAAGAGTTTGCTCCTGGTTTGGGAGTCTTCCTTGACACCCAGCTGTCACTGGTGCTCCACCCATTTGCAGGTGGGGCAGTGGGTGGAGGATCATTTGTACGACTAGGGCAACCCTCCCTAAGCCAGCTGGATCTGGCAACAGTTCCCTTGCCTTCGTTGCAGCCTGTCTGCAGTGGGCTCTTTGGGAGGCTGGCTTCGAAAAGTGTCTGGAAATTGCAGTTGCTGAAAACCCAGGCTGACCCATGCTGTGTGTAGGAGTCACAGGATGCCCATACAGAAAGACCTGCAGTGCTTGCCAGTCACCTACCAGGCGCAATGTGCCTGCTGCAAAATCCCGCGGGCTCTCTCCTTGCTTCAATGAGCAGCAGAGGAGAAGCCCCACTTTCTGGTATGCAGGCCTTCTCCTTTGAGGTTCCCAGGCAATAAGATGGGCTCCCTGCGGAGATGGGCTTGGCTCCCAGCATGTAAATAAGGGGCAAGAACGCCTCCCTTCTGCCAGACTTTGAACTGTGACCTGATTTTAAAGGCACTGATGTTTCTGTCAGGTTCTACATTTTGTTTTGGTTACTGTGAGCCACCCGAAGGGCTTATTTAAGCGGAAAGGCCGGGTATACCTTTCCTGATGAAGGAAAACTAATAACTAATATTTCCCTGGTCTGCTGCCAGATCTGGGTTATTGAGCCAAACCTCTGAGCTGGCCAGACCATGATCCAGCCGGCGGAGTCCTTGCCAATGCATCCTTGAAGTCCTCAAGCCACAAGAGCCCGCCAGCGAGAAACCTCTTTGTGCCCTCCCTCCATGAGCCTCCATGAGCCTCACCACGTCCTCCGTGGGGATATTCGTTGATGGCCCCCGTTCCCTTTCTGGGAAACCATCTATGAGATGCATCCGATTTAGCCAAAGCCTGATGCCAAGGCACGGTGGGATGATTTACAGGAAGTGGAGCAGAAGCATCGGATGCACCCCTGTGCTGTGAACAGAGCCCCCAAGAACTTCCTTCTTTTTGGAGAAGGGAACAGAGTCCGGATTAGGCCAAACCCTCTACCCTGCTTTCTCCACTATTTGCTTTCCGGCCAACTTCGTTCTATGCAGCTGGGAATTGACCCGGGGGGATGTCATGGGATAAAAGACCCCCATTGACTGACTCTCACTACCAGCCTGATTGTCAGTTGGCTACTACAACTGACCCAGATCTCCAAAGCACTGACTCTGTCCTTAAAAAAAGCGACAGTCAAAAAGCCAGAAAAAAGCAGCAGCAGCAGCAGCAGCAGCAGCAGCAGCATCTTTACCTTTAGCATACAGCGTGGAAGCACAACATCAACAACAACAACAAGGAGGCAACAGAGGCTTTGCTCGTAACAATCAGAAAACCTCGGCAGCATTATTAGCAACACACCCACAATATGCTCAGTGCTCAGTTCAGATCACCCAACTCAAAACACAACAGTGCAAGTCCCCAAGATGGACCCAAGAGCTATAATTTCCCCACATATTTGTTTAAAGAAAAGCAGGCAGTTTGTCTTCAGAGGGCGTCTGAGAGGGGCCTTCCTCAGTTCTCACGCCAGGCTGGCCAGGACTGGCTCTCCCTTCTCCCCACCAAATCTTGGCCAACAGCAACCAAAATGGAGCTAGTCATGCTTGCTTTCTTGGCCAGGGGGAGACCAGAATTAAAACCAAGGTAGTCGTACGAGTCGAGTCGGGGCTCAGAACGAGGCTGCCCGGCCCTCCCTGGCTCCAGAGGGACCCACTCAGAACCACCGTTTCCAGTTGGGACGGCTCACGCGCGAAACCTTTTGCGCCTCCCATTTCCACCCATCCCACCAGAGGTCCAGGTTGAGAGTACATCCCCAGAGAGGACCTATTCCATGACCTCTATTAAAAACACGGCAGGTGGGCGGAGAAGCCTGAGGTCCCAGTCCTTGAGGCCAAGGCCTCCCTCCGGGTCCCCTCAAGAACACCTCCGAAGTCCAGCGAGAGGATAGACGTTCTCCTGCGCGAGCATTTCTACGCTTCCCACAAATAGCTCCGGGGAGCCGCAGCAGGTCTGCAGCCGGGGGCAAGCATTCACCCGCGGCCACCGCGGCCGCCTTGCTTAAATGTCATCTTGCGCACTTCCACTGCACCTTCCAGGAACAAAAGGGGCTTACAAAGAGTTAACGTGTTGGTGGAGGAGGGGGAGAAGCGACCACCTGTCTGTACACGTGGAGCGCCCCTCGCCTTCCTTCGCCTCTGCTTTAACCGCGCCTTCTCTCCCAGGGTTTTGGGCCGCGCGCGCTCAGACCCCGAGTTTTTCCTTCTGGGGCTGCTTGTCGCCCGGGGAGGGGGGACGTCCGCAGAGTTTCTGAGCCCTCCGGCGGAAATAAGGCCTCCCGCTCCCGCATCCACAGCCTGGAGGGCGCGCTCAGAAATCACGCCCGCAGCATCGCCGCCAGCTCGGCTGCTGCGCCCACGTCTCGGGCTCCCACGAATTCCCCGGGTCGAGATACAAAGGGTTCCCGGAATCAGAGAAAAGGCCCGCAGGGGACGCCTTCCTCCCCGCGCTGCAAGGATCCTGCAGGTGACCCCCCCTCCCCCGCGGCGAGCTCAGCCCAGAGACCTTTGTTGCGAGCATGAAGCCCGAAACGCGAGCGCTTACCGCGAGCCGAAGCCTCCTCTGGCTTTCTCATGTCCACCTCCGGCCCTCAGCCATAGCCCTCCAGCACGCGGGTCCCCAAACAGCCTTGGGGGCCCTTTTCCATTCAAGTCGGCTCTGCTCCCCACTTTCGGCTCGGGCTGCAGATCCCGGACAGCCACCGACTCCTGCTCGGGCTGAGCTGGTGACCGTCACTCCAGGTGGAAAGCAGGAGAAAGGGGCTGGAGTGGGAAAAAGTGCCCTCCCCGCCCCTCCCCCGCCCCCCT